ATTTTTTTCTCATCTATAACTATATCACCCATGTTTTTACTTTGAGGTTGCTTCCCAATTGCTTAGCACCACAAACAACTGGTACATACACACACACACACACACATTTTTTTTTGTTACCATTTCTAGTACTGTTTATTCTTTGTGTAGATCCATAGTCTCATCTGACATCACCCATGTTTTTACTTTGAGGTTGCTTCCCAATTGCTTAGCACCACAAACAACTGGTACATACACACACACACACACATTTTTTTTTTGTTACCATTTCTAGTACTGTTTATTCTTTGTGTAGATCCATAGTCTCATCTGATGTCATCTTCTTTCCACTTTAAGAACTTCTTTTAACATTTCTTCAATCTTCTAGTGATGAATTCTTTCAGCTTTTATGTCTCTGTAAAGGTCTTAATTTGCCTTTATTTTGAAAAGCAGTTTCGCTGGGTATATAATTCTAGGTTGCTGAGTTGTTTTTTTTTTTTTTTCAGTGCCTTAAAGATGTTGCTGCTGTCACATGCATTGTTTCTGTTAAGTATGCTGTCAATATTAATGTTAACTAGATTCTTGGATCTATCTAACAATTTGAAAATTTGTTTCTTCAAATATTTCTTTATCCCTCAATCCCACTCTTCCCTTCATCAAGTAGATAAATATTTTTTGAATAAAAGAATATGTTGAAGAAATGTCTGTAAAACATAAATATATACTTTGGATGCAATTATAATCTGTCTAAATCTCCCCTTTCCTGATTTTTACTGGAAGAATTAGTTTTTCCTGGGAGTTACGAATCTAAAGGTCCTGGTGCCCGAGCCTACAACACTTGTGTGCACATGAATTAGTTCGTCATCTCCATGGTTATTAACTGTGAAGTTGTTCTCTCCAGAGTAACCAGGTAACAGGAGGGTTATGATGAGCAGCTCTTTCAGATTTCTGAAGCCTTGATTTTTTTTAAAAAAACACATAGTCTATGAATTCACTAGAATTAAAGTATATGAACCAATAGCTTTTTATCTGATTTATTTTAAAATAGAAGCATTTTGTATTTCTTCACTTATTACATACCTACATCCTTTGAATGTTTACTGCTATCTTAAAATATTTTCCAGACAATTTTTGTTTTTTTAAAGCTTTTAAATATGCCCTTTTTATTTGCTTGCTCTCATAATTTATTTAATTAAATACCATTTCTTGCCAACACTCAATATATTTAATGACAAAACACTCAAACCATTGAGAATTTTACATGACAAAAACAATGAATGTGGTCTCACTATTCTTATTTAACATTGCTCTGGAAATGCTGGTCAATGCAATAAGAGAGGAAAAGTAATAAAGCTACTGAAAGATGTGGAGATAAAATGTCATTATTTGTAAGTGATAAGCTTGCTTACTTTGCTTTTCTAGGTAGAAAACAAAATCAAACAAACAAAAAGAAATAATGTTTTCAGTATAGAGCAGTGGTTCTCAAAATGTGGTCCCCAAGAGCCTCCCAGACATTTGACAAGGTCAAAGCTATTTTGTTAATAATACTAAGATGTTTTTGTCTTTTCCATTCTCATGTTTCATTAGTATACAATGGAGTTTTCCAGAGGCTATGTGATGTGCTATTCCAACAGAATGAATGCAGAAGCATATATTACAATATAATTGTATTCTATTAAGCCAGACATTAAAGAGATTTATAAAATTATAAAACTGACTCTCTTCTCACTACGTGTTTTGTTTGTTTTGGAAAACATAATCATTTTTCATAAAAGTAAGTGGTAAGTTAAAGGGAACCCCTAGGAGATTACCCTCTTAGGAGGTTTCACAGTACTCACTAAACAGTACACAATGAGAGCAGCATATTCACTAGGTCTAGGCTGAGGCCTAAAGGAAAGTATGAAATGTAAATTCTATTTCATAATAACAGGCAAAGGAAAAGCTCTTTCCTTTTTTCTATGTAAGCTTTTCCTTTGTCTTTTCCCTCTTAATAATAAAGCAAAGGAAAAGATTAGCTAAGGTCAATTCTAGGTTTACAAACTGTTATCCAGAAGCTTCTGCAAAGCTTTGTGGGCTCCTTTCTCAGATGAAAACAACAGGAACTCAGTTGTGACTATGGACAAATATTGGTTTGCTATTCTATTTCCTTTAAGATGTATCATTGTTTCATGGAAGTCCAAATCAGAAAACTAACAGAAGGCAATTTCTACAACTTCAGATAACTGGTTGTTACAGGTGTCCTCAAGAATGTGTTTTTTTCAGTAATAACAAACCAACAGAAGTTTAATGAAGGCATTAATTCCACACACAGAAATACTCTATGCAGAATTTAAAAAGGAAAAAACGAAAACAAAAACATGGGCTTCTTGTTATTTTCAAATGAATCAAAAACATTTTAAAAATTAGAAATCCAAACGAATACAGTAAATATCAATAGTTATAATCCACATAAACGGAAGCTCTTTGATGTTTTCAGTATTTTTTGAGACTGTAAAGTGGTTTTGAAATAAAAATTTGAGAATTGCTAGACAGTACATATTTGTGTATATAATAGCAATAACCAATCATAATTTAAAATGAAAAAAAAGTAAAATATCTATGAATAACCTTATAGATCTCTATGGAATATATAATAACACTCTATTTCACTATATTTTAGAGGACTCAGAAAATGGAGATTCATATCATGTTCCTTGGTGAGAATTTTGACTATTATAATAATGTTCATTTTCCTTTATCAATTTATAGATGTTACATTTTTCCAAAATTTAACATATTTAAAATAATTAACATATTTCAATGTAAATGTGTTAAATCTATGGCAATGAAAATTTCTATAAAATTTAACTAAATTTTAACATTTTTGCAAGAATCACAGAGCAGTAACTGCAAAGAATATTTTTTAAAAGGAAGATAATGAAGGGAATCCTGCCTTATGTGTTATTAAAGTTATAACAGAGAGTCAGATAAATAAAATCAACTATTTCAAAACCAGCTTCACTGTGTGCTGTGCATATGTGTATATATGTGTGTATTTGTGGGGAATTACTATAGACTAAAGAAAGCATTAGTTTCCATTACTCACAATAAAGGACATACAAATGAAAACAATCTTATCAGTTCAGTAAAGTTAAAATATCATTAATATTAGAGAAATTGCTAAGCATTCCTAAATTGTCAAGGGGCAGTTATAAATTGAAACAACCTTTTTGGATTGCTCTTTGCTACTCTATATCAAGTGCTTTAAAATATTCATAATCTTTAATCTGGCAAATTTATTTCTAGCCATCTCTCCTGGAGAAATGCTCAGAAATGAGAAAATATGTATACAAAATTTGTTCACAACAGCATGTTTTCCTCATAATAAGACAAATTTTAGAACAACATAGGCAACTACATATTGGGCAATGATTAAGGAAATATAGTAATGAAAAGGGAAAATTGAACATGGAATAATATTGAGTAAGAATAGAGAATATAATATTTCACATACTTCATAAATTCAGCTATTTAAAAAGTATATCAAACTACCAAGAAGTAGGTATCTTAATACATTAACAATGGTTATCTCTGGATTCAGGAATTATGGATAATTTTTACAATTCTCTTTAAGTCTTTTTGTATTTTCCATTTTTTAAAACTGATAGTATATCACTGCTAAACTAAATAGAAGCAATACAATTCAACTGAATTGAATTTATACACAACTTTGAAGTTTTAATTTGTAGACTGAGATAAATCAGGCAAATATTATAATAGTCAGCTTTGAAATGAGATTTTATAGAACATTTCAGCTCTGGGTTACTTGCTCTTTTCCATCTGCCAGTAACTTCTTTGGATAGTACCTCCACTTTCAGAGTGTACTTTGTCCATTCAACATTAAACAAGTCACTTTTCTTCTCTTGGTCTTTAATTTCCTTACCTACCAAATGGTATCTTCCACTTTTAAAATTTGAAAATTAAGTGGTAAAGATTTCTAAAACTGTGTTTCCAAGGGAAACATCTTTCTTTCTTTCTTTCTTTCTTTCTCTCTCTCTCTCTCTCTCTCTCTCTCTCTCTTTCTCCCTCCCTCCCTCTCTCTCTCTCTCTCTCTCTCTTTCTTTCATTGAAACACAATTGATTGTACATATCTGTGGGGTACAACTTTGAATATCAATACCTGTGTGCAATATGTGATGCTCAGATCAGGGTATGTCTCTCTTCTACAGCACATTTTCTCCCAACATACTCTTACCTTTTGTGTTTCCATATCTCCTCCCCCCTTCCCCCAACACCTGAAGAATGAAGAAGGTATTGTAATGTCATCTTTCTGTCTGCTTCTTGCTACTATTTAAGGAAGTATCCATATCCTAGTAGTCACTGTCTGAATATTGTTAACTGATTGTCACCTACAGATCTTTGGTGATTCTCACCATCATAGAATTTATAAAAATCTGTAGAAATTCTAAGAAGCTATATCTAAATGGAGTGACCTAAGCTTGATAGTGAACTGTTGTTGCCTTTTCCTTCCATGTTAGCCTGTTTTGTTGGACCTTTTAAAATAGATGTCTCTACAGTTGTAGACAACTCAGGCATGAACGCATGTGTTTAACATTTGAAATGGTCAGAACTTTGGAAATCCTTTCTTTTTTTTTGAAGACATTATATGTTATTTAAACTATAGTTTGCAATCCGATATTTTGATCCTGCAGTGTTTGCTAGACAACGTTGTTATATTTAGTTGTCAATTAAAATAAATCACTAAACATGCTAATGAATGACTGTATTAATACATGTTGGTACAATATTATAAGCTTCATATAGATCCATTTACTTGATATCAAATGTAACTTTCTAATAATGTAACTATTATTAAATTCTTCAATATGAAGTTTTAATCTATATTACACCTTTTAAATAGACAAGTGAAACCTTAGAATTGATTCTCTTTGTTGAATTAATCATTTCTGGGGTGGAATATATGCTGTTGGATGCCTCCATGTGATTCATGTGTACTGATAAATTTCTTTTTAAAATTGCAGCAAATAGTGGCAGCAGTAAATGCAGGGATTATACCCTTAGGAAACACCTCCAATCAAATCAGTCACTGGGATTTGGGAAGTTCCTTCTTCTTTGCTGGCACTGTTATTACAACCATAGGTAGGCAACAACTTATTTTGTTTTTTATTTTGGTACAGATGTGAGCTAAAATTCATTTGTTGGAAATTTTTAAGTAGACGGTCAAAATGGTCTCCCAAAGGTAGAAAACTAGATTATAGTAAATTGATTTTGAAAAGGGGGTTTAAAGGCTTGAACAAATGACTGATGGAAATGAATTAGTTATTGTTTCAGAATACTGAGCAGTTGAGTCATTTAACTAATGGATAGTATTGTCAAGAAATGACTTGAAATGATGAATTTTCGGGCAAATGGATTTTAATTTTCCTGCATCTTTGATTCTTTAGTGTAACAGGAAAGGATTTGAATGCAATATTAACATTCTTTTCATAAAGTTCTTATGTGATATCGCCTTTTTCATTTTGTAAATTTCAACTCTGCATTTCAACTGATTGTGCCTATTATATGCTTGCCTATCATGATTACTTCAGGGCTGTAACAGGAAAGGATTTGAATGCAATATTAACATTCTTTTCATAAAGTTCTTATGTGATATTGCCTTTTTCATTTTGTAAATTTCAACTCTGCATTTCAACTGATTGTGCCTATTATATGCTTGCCTATCATGATTACTTCAGGGTTTATTTTTTTGTATATTGTATTTTGCCAATAGCACAAATTTATGAAAAGGTAACACTGAAATATGGGGATTACAAAAGGAATGAAAATTTAGGCCCTGGATGTTTTTGCTTTTTAATCACATTGTTTGCTACAATGTTGAAAAGGGTCACGTGATGAAACATGATCTTTTTCCAGCTTAACCGTGCATATGTTCAGCACCTTCCAGGCAGCAGAATGGGTACATATAGATGTCCTCTCTGTGTTGGTTACCATTCAATGCCCAAGAACTGTCCAGAGGATCTAAATGCAGACCCCATAGTGAAAGCCATGTTTGCTCTTCTATGAGGACTGAGAAGGGTTATGGCTGTCCTGCATGTGGAAAGAGGTGGATTTAAAACATAATTTTTTAAGAAAGGGAAAGAAATTGACTCATCACCGTTATGAAGGAATTTCAGGTGGGAGAAAGTGTGCAAAAGGGAGTTCTTCCCTTCCACATAGCCTTCTGATGAGATTTTCTTTCATAGGACTGCTCTCTGGTTGTGAAGTGAATTAAGATTCTAAAAGTTTCAATTTTATTCTTGATGTCATCAATAAATTATGAAGTGTATAAAGTTTTCAAATTAGTATTTTATATCAAAGTCCTAAATAAGAGAACATGGAAAATGTATGGGCGTGCTCTTGCTTTAAATTCTTCCTTTGACAGGATTTTGTAGTGTCTTATCATATGAACACACTGTAGTGCCTCTTTGCGCTGGATCACTTGCCGGCAAAATAAATACCTTACTATGTTGATTTTTGCCTGTGTTAAGAGGTCAGGAAACTATGTTTACTTTTACATTTCCATTAGCTGGGTCAAAAGTTGTGTGGCTGTGAAAATCTGGAAAAATGGCGACATTGATTTCTAACCATAATAACAGGTTGAGTTTGGGGCTTAGACATCTTGGCCATTTCTTCTATGGAAATAACTATTTATTGTGTAAACTACTTAGAGTCTGGAAGGAAAAAAGCTCACAGACTGAGTGAGAAAGGATTCTTTCTGCCCAGTGAAAACTCAAAAGTCTAAGTTATAACTCATCATGACCACCACTAAATTATTTTGCAAGAGACTCGGTCATTATACAGACTTACTGTTGCGTTGTATGTTTATAAACAGTCTCATTTTTTGAATCACCAAATTCAGTAAGATTTGCAGAAATATACTTCAGTGCATGAAATAAGTAAATAAATAAATTGTTGTTACCAGCCTTACCCCAAATTATAGCTGTTAAGCACGGTAGCTGATCATTTAGTTTGCTTAGGTAGTGGCCTGAGAGCCTAAATCTCCTACTGTTCTATCTCCAGCTTTAGTCTTAGGTGGATTCAGTCATTCTTGGTGTTCCATATGGGAACCTTTTACTTCATGGTCTTTTACTCCTAAGGTCAAGGGCATCTCCTCTCACCTTGAGCTAGATTATGGCCCAGGGCAGGGTAAAAACTTTTGACCACTTTACATATGTGTCCATTTGAGATCCAAATCATTATTCCATAAAATTCAAAATATAATTATTAATATTGTTAATGGTAATAATTGTGTGAGCTTTGAAGTATTTTTAGCAATCATAGAAATGTAACCTTTAGTGCTACCTGCATTGTTTAGGTCATTTAGAACACAAGAGATTTTTGGAAAATCAGTCGCAGTGGATTCTACAGGGTGCCTGGTGCAGGCGGTACTTCATGGAACTGGATTGGCTGCAGTTTTTTCTATTGAAGGTTTTTCTCTTCAATTTTATCAATTTTTCTAAGAATCAATCATGGTCCTTACTATTCATTGGAAATATGCTCAAGGGAAGGTCAGTTGTACAAAATAGAATATTGAAATTTAAGACCTAAGTTTAGAGAATCTCTTCATATATCTGAACATGCTTTCCAAAATTATACCCTTCCAAAGCTTTCACAAATTCTATTCCATAGTTGCACAGACTGAAATGCATCCTTGACTATTCTTTTTCTTTTATAGTCCGCATCCAGTCCGTCACCCAATCCTGTTGGCTCTTCCTTTAAAGCAGATCCTTGCTTTAACTACTGCTCATCATTCAAGTTGGCACAGTTTTGGTTCATACGAGCAGCATCCCATGTCAACATCATTGTAGAAACCTTCTGCTCAGAACTCTTCCGTGGTTTCCAACTCAAACAGGGCAAAAGCCACAGTCCCTTGCCTGTCTCACCTAGTAAAATGCACGTTCTATGAAGTTAGGGATTTTTATCTTTTTGGGTCTTTTCTGTATCCCAAGTGCCTGACATATCATGGGTGCTTACTAATTATTTTTGCAGTTAAAAACAAATAGGCATCCCAAATGGTAGGAATAGTGCCTTATTGGGAAATACCTAACACTATATTGAAACCTGTGACAATAAATACTTAGCTCTTTCCACAGATTTCATTACCACCTTGCTTGTTCATTTATTCAACAAATAATAAATCACTATTTCACTGCTGCTGTAAAGATAAAAGGTAAATTTTTTGACCCTAAGTTGTACACAGATCAATCAGGAAGACCAGTGGGTGAATAAACACTTACAATGTGCTAGTGTGCCAGGGCTATGGGTTAAGAGCATTTAATGAAAGTGTGTGGGAGTGACGCTTCACATAGATATTGGGGTAGGTGGGTGGGTGAGGACGAAGCAAGGAATACTTCTTTTTCCTTAGTAGGTATTGTCCCAGTTGAGTCTGGAAAGAGAACTAGGAATCTGCCACGTGAATAAAGGTGGATGGGAAGCATTTTAGGCATAGGGAGCTCATGTGGAAAAGATTAGGGGTAAGAGGCAATATGGTCTGTTTGGGTATTGCCAGTTGTGCAGAATGGTTGTTTGGGGCTGCAGAGATTCATACTCAGGATTACGTATGTCAGTAAGTCCACGTGGGTAGCTCCTGTTGCATCACTGCTTCTTCTGCCACTGCCCAGAATATAGAGGAAGGAAGGACAGTCCCTGCTTGAAATCTCATTTGGGAGATAAAATTTACACATATGAAATAACTGACAAATAACAAGAATAACTATTGTATAATCAAATGTTACATGCAACAATGGCTATAGAGAATTGAGAAAAAAGGAAAACACATGGGCTGAAACTGAGAGATCAGGCTTAAGTGGAGAAGTTTAATTTGAACTAGCTTTGAAGAAAACGTTTTAGTTTAGACTGACAGAGGGGAAAAAGCCTCCCAGTCTGTGGCATGACTAAGCAAAAATCCAAAGAGAGGAATGATTTATTTGGGAGATAGCAAGGTAAGTATTTGAGCAGACCAGAGGAATTGTTTAAAGGAGTAGTAGGAAATATTACTGAATACAGTTGAGTATCATTTTATTTGGGGGACCTACTATAATAATAAGAACAAGGATTTTTTTGGAAAGTGAAGTAAAAGATGCGTCTGTCAGGAAGAGGTTAAATGAAAACTGACAGTTCAGCTGAGAGAGCAATTAGGAGGTCATTGCAGTGGCCAGAGAAGAGGAATGTGAGTATCGACTGAGATGATTGGAGTTGATGTTGAAGGTTGAGAGTCAGACAAAATGTTGACATAATTAGATGCAACAATCCATGAACAGAGAAGAGTCAAAATGCTGAAAGTAAAGTGAATATTTAGGCAGCAGGCATGGAATTCATAAATAGTGCTAGTGGATCCTACTAAGAGAAAGAAGTAGAAATAATGGCCAAGATTTTAAATGTTGTGTTATTTTAGGGAGCTTCATTTTAGTAGTTCCCCACCAACCCCCCATTTTTGTTTGTTTGTTTGTTCGTTCTTTAATTCAGCCAGACTAGAAATCTAAGGTAGATAGGCTCCCTCCTAGAGCTTGCATTGGGGTTGAAGAGACCAACAGCCAATCAGTTCATTAAAACCAGGGCCATGAATGACTGCAATAAATGCTACAAAAGAAGCTCATGTGCAGTGATAGCATAGATGGTGGAGCCGGAGAGGGGAGAGGGAGGTGTTCTAAGGAGGCCGATTCAAGAACTCTGTGAGGAGGGACATTTAAGCCGAAACCTGCAGGATGAAAGGAAATCAGCTCTGTAAAAAAAGTGAAACATGAGTTCAGGCAGAGGGCACAGCAATGGCAAAGATCCTGCGTGGTACAGACTTGGGCATGTTCTAGGAATACAGATGAGGCCGTGTGGCAGAGCCTGGAAGGTGGCAGAGCCTGGAAGACGGCAGGAAGGGGAGCAGGAGAAAGAAGTGAGGTTAGCAAGGTAACTGGGAGCAGGAGCTTGTGGGACTCAGCAGGTCACAGTGACATTCCAAATTCAGTGGGAAGTCTCTGAAAGACTTAAGCAGAAGAGGAGTATGATGTGACACTGGCTGACATACAGAGAACAAAAGCTGAAGCAGGAAGACCAATGAGGAGTGTGGTATGACACAGAATTATATGTGGTCTTTGTCCCAGGTTCTT